GGACACCGTACGGGGTGTCCAGGGTGAACACCTGGGGACAGGGGACACTGTGATGCTGAGGACATGGGGACACCGTGACACCTGGGGACACCGTGACACCGGGGCATGGGGACACCGTACGGGGCGTCCAGGGTGAACACCTGGGGACAGGGGACACCGTGACACCTGGGGACAGGGGACACCGTGACACCGGGGACATGGGGACACCGTATGGGGCGTACAGGGTGAACACCTGGGGACAGCGGACACCGTGACACCTGGGGACACCGTGGACAATGCAGGGACACTTGGGGACAGAGGGACACCACAGGGACACCTGGGGCAGGGGACACTGTACGGGGCATCTAGGGTGAACACCTGGGGACAGGGGACACCGTGACACCGGGGACATGGGGACACCGGGGCGGGCCGGGGGACATCGGGGGACAGAGCACACTGTGACACCGGGGATATGTACGGGGCATCCAAGGTGAACACCTGGGGACAGGGGACACCGTGACACCGGGGACACGGGGACATCAGGGACAACATGGGGACATCAGGGCACAGAGGACACCGTGACACCGGGGATATGGGGACACTGGGGACAATTCGAGGACACCTGGGGACATGGGGACACCGTGACACCGGGAACATGGGGACAGCAGGGACAACATGGGGACACCTGGGGTCAAGGGACACCATGACACCGGGGATATGGGGACACCGTGGACAATCCGGGGACACCTGGGGACATGGGACACAGGTGACACCGGGGACATGGGGACACCGTGCGGGGGCATCCAGCATGAACACCTGAGGACAGGGGACACCATGACACCGGGGACATGGGACATCGGGGCTACTATGGGGCCACCTGGGGACAGGGGACATGGGGACACAGTGACACTGGGGACATGGGGACCAGGGCCACCAAGGGAACACCTGGGGACAGGGGACACAGTGACACCGCGGGGACATGGGTGACACTGGGGCCACCCACAGGGCAGTGTCCAGGGTGAACATCTGGGGACAGGGGACACGGGTGACACCAGGGCCACCCGCGGGGGGGACACCCAGCCCTGGGGGGTGCAAATGGGACACGTGGCCTCCGGGTGGCACCATCACAGGGCCCTGGGTGTCCCCATGTCCCATGTCCCCAGCTGTCCTCATGTCCCATGTCCCCAGGTGGCTCCAGGTGTCCCCACGTCCCGCGTCACCAGGT